TAGGAGCTATCTCCAGAATGTTGAACCATTCTGTGATGTGTCAGGATGTCTTTCATCACTTCTTCATACATCAAAGTTTCATTGCCGAACATAAGCTTCGTGTGAAAGTGTTTATAGGACAGAGGCAAAGATGTCAACATCATCACAACCTTGTCTTCCAATTCATAAATCTCATCCATTTTTTGCAAGTTCGCAATACACCTATTAAAGGCCCTCATGTGCTCCATCATGCTTGTGCCCTTCTCCATATTTAAACAGTGACGCTCTTCCTTCAAAAAAAGCTTGTTGGACAATAATTTTGACGCAAACATCTCTTCTAGTTTATCCCATGTCTTCTTCACGGTATCTTCTATCGCATTACACAACACTTCGTCTTAAGGACGTGCTTCATCCTATTTTGCCAAAGAGTGAAGTTCTCGTTGCCAGTGAATGGCTTCAACTGGACCTTCGTACTCGATACATGTGGTGATTTTGTCTGGGAGCTATCTCCTTTCTCCTTATCACTGGCCATCTTCAACACATTGCTGCTCTTAAAGTTATAAGAGCACTTAGGCATAAACCAATACCCACCGCAACCTGGTTCTGATACCACTTGTTGTGTTCAAACACTCCAAGACCTTATCGTTGATGGACTACGCAACTATCACACATAAGCCATACAAAGATAAATCACACACATGAATTGAAAAGTAAGCACACACAAAAAATACAAGAATTTATAGAGGTTCGGCAGTGTACCTGCGTCCTCTCCGGTGATCCCTGAAAAATTCACTGGTATGAAATAACCACTTTGGTTACAATGAAGAACCATCTTGCTCTCTCACAAACCCTAGCTCTCTTTTCTCTCACCCTTGGCTCAAACCCAATTTGATGCCCTTTGATTCTCATGTTATCAAAACCTAACACTAAAGTGCCTAATTATAGACCATAGGACTTAAGTATAATCATACAAGGAATAGGAAATATAAAACTCCACAAAACCCTAGGAAAAACTATCCTAAAATGCCAAGGATTCGCGTCGTCCTCTCGAGAGCCTTGCGACCGCTCGAGCACCTGGGTTGGAGCATGAATTCTCGCTCTGCCGCTCAAGCGCCAGTGTCTGGGTGAAAAAGCACTGTTCTACCGCTCAAGCGCCTGCAGCTTCTGCTCGAGCTCCAAAACCTAATCAACTCTTCTGCAGCTCTTTGACTGATTGCTTCCTTTATTCCTTCCGCATCTTAGGTAAGCCAACATTAACAAGATAAACTTTTGGCTCAACCCCAAATGGGATGTACAAGTGTGGAAGCTAGGAAGCACTTGTTCCCAATTGCAAACCTATCTGGGTTGAACTTGTAGGCATCTGGACCCCATATTTCTGGAACGGTGTGTAGTGTCGCCATCTTCGTCCAAACATTGACACCCTTTGGAAGCCTTTTTTGACACCACAATAACTGGTGAATATAGCCGCAGTGATTCATGATTCACCAGTGTTAGCTACACATATTCAACAATAGTCAAGGTTTTATGGTAAGTAATGTTGAAGTTGGCTCGCCGTTGATGTAGTATTAGAGTCGTGGAGCAGTGAGAAATGACATGTCGCAAGTTAAGTGTCAACTGGTCTTAGTTAAGTGTCGACCGGTCGCTTTGTGTCGAGAAGGAAATTCGCGAAGACTGTTGGAAACGACCGGTCTGTGTGGCTAGAAAACTAGTTGCTTAAAGCCGAGGAGAAACTTAGAGAAACTATGTAAAGCAACTGGTCGCAAGGTGCAATGTGACCAGTCGTGGCGTCTTCTTGAGCTCGGCGTGTTTTGGGCTTTCTACGAGTTTTAAGCAAGTTTTAGTCTAGTTTGACTAAGGTTTAACACTCCCACTCCTAATACAAGTGTATTAAAGTCCTATAATCTATAAATAAACGATTTAGTACTTGGATTTTCTCTAAGAGTTTCATAACGACTATAACATAAGAAAACAAGGGCATCAAATTGGGTTTGAGCCAAGGGTGAGAGAAAAGAGTGCTAGGGTTTGTGAGAGAGCAAATGAGGTTCCTCATTGTAACCAAATGAGTTCTTTCTTACTAGTGAATTTCTCAAGGATCACCGGAGAGGATGTAGGCATAACGCCGTTGCACTCAAAATGTCCTCCAACATTAAAAAAATGATTGAATTTTACCCAACTTCAAATAATGCCAATATACTTTCCCATTAGTCAACATTCTTCATGAATAATTATTCCACTTAATACTTTTTTTTCTGGTTTATCATAATCCTCAGTGATTAGGTTTCAAATTAAAGCTAAAAATATTTATATCACGCTGAAAAAAAAAAAAAAAAAACAAGAGAGAGAGAGAGAGAGAGAGAGAGAGAGAGAGAGAGAGAGAGAGAGAAAGAGAGGGGCAGAAAGTGGGTAAGGGATGGGGGGCTGAGGTTTGGGTCGCGGGTAACAAAGAGAGAGAGAGAGAGAGAGGATGAGGAAGGGGGTAGAGGGGGAGATAGAGGAAGAGACGGATGGGGGGAGGGGAGGGGAGGGGCAGGGGTAGGGATTTTTTTTTTTTTAAATTTTAAATTTAAAAATCTTCTTTTTTATATATATATATTATTTATAGAAACTTAATTTTCTTTACAATTATTTTTAATGGATTTTAAGTTCTAAAATTGAATTTTCATTTGTGAATTAATATTTTTGTTAAAAATTGGGTAAAGTGAGACAAAATGAGTTTGATGGGGTAAAATGAGACTCAAATTGTAAGATCCCATATCGACCAACGGAGAGGGGGTGATGTGCCTTATATGTACATGCCCACCTCCATCTAGCACGAGGCCTTTTGGGAGCTCACTGGCTTCGGAGTCATGGGAACTCCGAAGTTAAGCGAGTTGGGGGCTAGAGCAATCCCAGGATGGGTGACCCACTGGGAAGTTGCTCGTGAGCTCCCAGAAACAAAACCGTGAGGGCAGAGAGAGGGGCCCAAAGCGGACAATATCATGCTATGGCGGAGCCGGTCCCGGGATGTGACAATTTGGTATCAGAGCCACTTTGCCGTGTGGTGCGAGTGTGTCGACGGTTACGTGAGTTTGGGGCTAGAGCAATCCCATGATGGGTGACCCACTAGGAAGTTGATCGTGAGCTCCCAGAAACAAAACCGTGAGGCAGAGAGGGGGGCTCAAAGCGAACAATATCGTGCTATGACGGAGTCGATCCCGGGATGTGACACAAATACACTTTTGGGGTGTATATAAAAAATTAAGCCTTTTTTTATTTGGTTTATATGAATGAGTTATGATTTTTTTAGACATAAATGTTTAAAATTCAAATTCAAAATTTAAGAGTGAATGCTTTAAATAAAGGACTTTTAATTTGTTTCCATTGTTTACCTTCAAGGTCAAAATAGTCATAAAAAATAAGTAATAAATATATGCAAATTGGACCGGGATTCATCAATTCAAACGCGTGGGTTATACCTAAAATTTTCATCCATAATTGGGGCTTTTCAATATAAACCCAATTCTGGAAGTGGGAACTTCAGATAAAGAACGAGAATTTAAAATCAATACACAAGTAACACGTTGATATTAAAATACTCAAATAAACCCATAAATGATTGATGTTTATAGTCCAGAAATTCTTTCTTTTTGGGGTTTTTGTCCCCCCAGTCAATGTCATAAATAATAAAAAAAATTCCTGAAATTCATTGGACACTGAATATATAATGTTGAAAATTTAATTAGTACCAGGAATCTCTAGGTCAACTGCAAGTCGTAAGCACAGTTGACAATTTTGCAAGCAATTATCAGAGAAGAAACTCACAAGGACTTTCATGGTAGCTCGGATCCCAATAGCCCTCCTACACTTTCGCACGTTTCATGCCCTTTTTTTTTCCTCCTTCAAAGTCACTTCTCCATGTTCGTCTCTTTCGTCTCTCTCTTCTCCATTTTCACGGGTAATAAGCCCATGTCTCTGAATATTAAACCTGTCAGCAAAGAGTTGTTCACCATTTTTGTTTATATCTAAAGCTTTTCTGAACTAAAGTTTCAGAAAAGAATATGGCGGACGGGAGACTCAGTTGAATTTGGAGGGGATGAAGAAGAAGCTAGCGTCGCGCCAAAGTTTATGTTCGATTACTTTGACTGCTCTCTCTCTCTACCCTTGGATTTAACTTTTAACTTTTTACGATTTTGTTCTTTTTTATAATTAAAAAAAATATTATTTTATTTTACAATTAAAAAGGATAATGGGTAGTTGTGTTTAATAAAAATAAAATCCATTATCTGATTTTTCTTTTAATTTTAATATGAAAAAAGTGTGAATTTACCATATTAATTAATAATTTCAATTCTTAATGTTTGAATTAACTAAGAACATTTTCTAATACTTTGAATGTTTTACCATTCTCTGTCTTTTGCTTTATATATATATATATATGAAATAATGAAAGAGGTTTGGGCTTGTAATTTGAAAGCAAATAGGTCGTAAAAAAAGGGAATGGTATAATTAAAAATAATAATCACCATCTTAATTCGATAAATTTCTTAACAATAGATGGTGAAAAATCAGCTTTTATATAAAATATAAATTTTTTAATATTAAAATTGTTTATTTGTAGTCAGTTTTTCAATAATAAGAAAAAATATGGATAAAATATGCTAATAATATTATTGCAAAATATTCAGAAAAATAATGTGTGTTATTCGTAAAAATATGTACGCACGTGTATAATATGCAAATGATATGTTGACTTAAAAAACATATAATTTTCCTTAACTTGAGAAGTGTACAGAAAATGAAAATATTTTTCAAAAATACAAACGTACGTGTATAAATATTAAAATTACTAACCCGGTTGCAAACACATATGCACATGTCCAATGATGTTGTAAACTGACGCGAAAAATCTAAAGAAGTATGAATTTAATAATATTATTATTTTATCCATTTATCAATATTCGAACTTGAAACATATATTCGACCAAAAAAAAAAATTTGAAACATATTCAGACATTTGGAAAAAACAAAAACTACCAAACAAATCAAGAACTAATTGGTGATATCATTCACTTCAATAAACCATACAAGGAGTGAAAATGATGAAATATTAAAGATGCATTATTAGAACAAGCAACTTTATATGCTATAGGCTTAAACAAGTGAACAAACTTGTAAACTACAGACAGCCAGGAAGCTAACCCTTACTCTGTTTTGTCACAAGAAAGTTTATAGTTAAAAAAGATCCAATCTAATAAAACAGCTCACAGCTTCGTCACTAGGAGATCAACTCCATGCTCTGGCTCCACAACCAATCTAAGCGCCGGTCCATATTTGTACTTGGGAGAAAGTGAGAAGGAGAAGTTGGAGACTATGAGGGCTAGGAGAACCTTGAGCTCAACCATGGCCAAGTTCTGTCCAAGACACACTCTTGGTCCAACCCCAAACGGCATGTACAAGTGGGGAAGCTTGCAAGCACCTGTGATCCCATTTGCAAACCTATCTGGGTTGAATTCGTAGGCATCTGGGCCCCATATTTCTGGATCAGTGTGCAGTGTCACTACTGTGGTCCAAACATTGAAACCCTTTGGAACACTTATGTCCCCAAATTTCATGTCCTTGAAAGCCTCCCTTGACACCACAGTAACCGGTGGATATAGCCGCAGTGATTCTTGAATCACCATTGTTAGCTGCACACATATTCAACAATAGTCAATTTTTTATGTTAATTAACTGATATCTTCTATGTATGAAAGTACGTCTCAACATGTAAAATACTCTCTTGTTAGACTGTTTGGCAAACTAAATATATCATGTTGTTAGATTGTAAATTAATCAGGAAAAATATTCAATGGTGTAAAAATGTATACCTGTTTCATCTTGCGAACCATTTCGTTATCAGGAATTTGGCCTTGGCAAATTTGAAGGACCTCTGCCCTGACACGTTCCTGCCATTTTTTATTTGAAGCCAACAACATGAGGCACCAAGTGGCTGAAACCGCTGTGGTTTCATAGCCGGCCAAGTAAATGTTCTTGCAATTGTCAACAATGAAGCGGTCTGTTGCTTCTGGGCTGAGATCAGTGTTTCGAGCACCCTCAAGAATCATTTGCAAGAGGTCTTTCTCATATCCTGCTGCTTGTCTTTCCTTCACTACTTGCAGGATCAAAGTGCTAGCCTCCTTTTCTAATGCCCAAGCTTCCCTGTTGCTCTTCGTGGGAAGGTGTCTGCAACAATATATTATAGCAATTAACTATAAGATTGTAGGGAGCTATATGTAACACATTTATTGACCATATATTTCACTTTCAAGTGGAAAATGAGAAAGAAAAAAATTAGTTGTTTGCATTGCATACACTTTCTCTATTAGAGTGCCAAAGTCTCTACCCTATAATTTTCTCCAATTTTAGTTGTTTGGTCATGAATTTATGTAAGAAAACCTTAAGCCCCAATTGTGAGTATAAAGTACCTCATTCCAGGAACTCCAGTCAAAAAGATTTTCTTGGACATAGCCTCCTGGAGATTTCTTAGTTTCTGAAATATCTCTTCCCCTTTGGAGTAGTTGCTTCCAAAACAAGCTCTTGAGATTACATCACCAGAGAAACTTCTTATGTAGCTGTCAATTTTTATGTCGGCAACTCCTCCCTCTGCCTCAATCCTACTGTTCCATGAATTTATCAGAGTAGTTGTTGACTCTGTAATTAAGTTGATCATTCCCTGCAAGATTTACCATAGTTGCAATCACAACAATTCTTGGCACCATTTGCTATGAATTATATAGTAATATACAAATCAAATCTTCTCTAAACATGACATCCGTTGTTTATTCAAGAATGGATTGTCGATATGATATCAAGATGTGAATATCATTATCCATAATATGTCAATATTAAAACATACTATCCACAATATCGATACAAAATACATACCTTAACTTTCTCCATGTATAGTTCAGGAGCAATGACTTTGCGTTGGTGGGCCCATGAGGCGCCATTTGAGGTCAAAATACCTTGACCAAGCAAAGGGCCGCGCTCTTTATATTGATAAGTAGGCTTCCCCAAGTCTAAAGACGTGCATGTTGTAATCTCCCTCACTGCGTCTGGTTGGTTCGCATATAATATTTGTGTGTTGCCAAGTGCAAACACAAACACTTCACCTGCAGATAAACCAATTATTTAGTACAAACAATAAATAAATTAAGATTCACTGAAAATAATAGCTTTTTTTTTATAAGGATTTTCAGTCATTTTTTTATTACGAATTTTCTATGGCCCAACGCTACCTCCACTCTGTTAGTCTCCCCAACAACCCACTCTCTGTTTTTCTCTCTCCCTCCCGAACTCACTCTCTGTTTCTATATGCTTTATTCTCTGCTCCATATTGATATCCCTCTCCTTCTATCTCCTTCTCTCTCTCCCCCTCCCAAACTTTCTCTGGTTCCCTCTCATTTTCTCTCTCCCCCCTGATCTCTCTCTTATTCCCCTTTGTAGTCACAGATCCCCTTCGAAGTCACAAATCTCCATCTGGTTCCACTGAGCCATGGTCGGTGGTGGATGATTTTCCGGAAGGTTCAATTGGGTTTGACAGTGGTGGTTCAATTTGGGTTCAACTGGGTTGTGGTTCCACTGGGTTTGAATTAGTGGTGGTTCAATTAGGTGGTGGTTGGTTCGAGTGACTGGGTTTGACGACGGTCTGTGGTGGTTCTGGTGGTTCGACTGGGTTTGTGGTCACTGGTCGTTACCCTAAATATATGATATAGATGAACAACATGTATACTTAATATTAAAACGAACAGTAATAATACCATATTGCTTCCTCCACTTCTCAAAAAATGGAAAGAGCAGAGCAGCACAATTATGCGTGGTGGGAGCTTCACCCTCCTTGAAAACATTGCTGGAGCCTCGAGAATTCTTTATCTCCATAATGTTTCCCAGAAGAATAGTAGCCGGGGGTCCGCTAATGCCTTGCTTGGTTAGCAGGGACCTCAGCTTCTTCGGCTTCGACACAAGCCCATTGTACAAGCGCACCAACAATCCTATAAACCCTAGCAGAACAAGGGACATCAACATTTTCGCATCAACTTGAAGAAGCTCCATTAGAAAGGAAGAAGGAAAAAAGAAAAAACCCCCGATGCTTCAAACCCTCTGAGAGTGAGAGAGTTCAGTTTCTGTTGTTGATGACTTTCAAATTTTGCAGACTCTTACGGATATTTATATAGAGATATTTAGTCAAAGTTTCCGTCTAGCTCCTTCGTTGAAAAGTAAAAGTTTGGGTACTACAAATTCTAATTTTTTTCCATTTTAATTATTTATCTGACTTTTCTCTATCTTGATCATTTCTACCTCCTTTTTATTTTTCTATCAACCAGAGTCTGCAGGGACTCCTCAAACTCATTTAATTTCTCACTCTCTGCATCATTTTCTCATGTATTCACCAAAATCCAAGAGTCCATATGAAAATGTACAATAAAGATCAGATGGTAAAAAGATGTATTATTCCACTGTTTGAGTATACGAGGAAGTTATAATTTTCATTTTCTTTGAATTCTTGAGAATTAGAGAGAGAGCTTAAGAATCATATGTCGGCGAGTCCTTATTTAGTTAGGATTTTGATTACTTACTCGTTTATATAGTTCTAATTGTAATTGAAATTTATTTCCTTTTTAAGATTAACACATCTTTGTATAAAAAGATGGGTGATTTAATTTGGTCCATTAAGTTTGGCTGTGCTAGCTGATAGAGATAGGCATAAGAACTTGAGAGTTGTCCCACCACGGTGGTGGTGGATCCCCCTCCCCTAAGGCACTCAGGATGGAACCTGAGTGGGGTATTCTTTCCTCCAATGTAACTCCAAAAAAAAGTTATGTGTGAATTGCTGTTTAGTTAATGAAATTACGCGGAAATCGTTTGCTTACTGCTTAGCTTTAATTTGGTCAGTTGTAAAATGAAGACTATCAACAAGTCAACATATCCTCCTTAATAGTCAAGAAATTTCATAGGATGGCTTCCTTAATTTCATTTTTTTTTTAATATGAAGAAGGGGGAAAACTCCTTAATTTCATTTTAAATGATGACTATGTGAGCAATTCTTTTTTTTATTTATTATTATTTCCTTAAGATATTATTCCCTCAATTACATTTTGCGTTTTTTTTTTCATGCCATTTCCCTCAAGTATGAGATTATTAATTCATTAAATAAAAATCTTATTAAAATTTGTATAGGAAGAAACTAGCTAGTAATATAGAAATGTTTTGCTTGTCCATGGTTCCATGTGAGAAGTAGAACCTTAGCAATATTAATTATTGTTTGCCATATTTTCTAGCTCTATTTTTTTATTTTTTATACAAGCGATATTAAGAAAGGGCTGCTTAGCTTTAATTTGGTCAGTTGTAAAATGAAGACTATCAACAAGTCAACATAACCTCCTTAATAGTCAAGAAATTTCATAGGATGGCTTCCTTAATTTCATTTTTTTTTTTAATATGAAGAAGGGGGAAAACTCCTTAATTTCATTTTAAATGATGACTATGTGAGCAATTCTATTTTTTATTTATTATTATTTCCTTAAGATATTATTCCCTCAATTACATTTTGCGTTTTTTTTTTCATGCCATTTCCCTCAAGTACGAGATTATTAATTCATTAAATAAAAATCTTATTAAAATTTGTATAGGAAGAAACTAGCTAGTAATATAGAATGTTTTGCATGTCCATGGTTCCATGTGAGAAGTAGAACTGTAGCAATATTAATTATTGTTTGCCATATTTTCTAACTCTATTTTTTTATTTTTTATACAAGCGATATTAAGAAATGAGGAATCGAACCTAGAACCACAAGTACAAAAAAAATAACTGTGCTTAACCATTATTCGTACTCTCATCATTTGGGGTTGATGGTCAAGATTGGCAAACCCCGCACTACAATAAAGCTTCATTATTTTACATAACAAATCGGACTGCTAAAATTTCAACAACATGAGGTTCTCAAAAGGGGATAGGAAGGAAGTCAAGGGATTGCCATAGCAATCATACTCTCACCAGTATTCGGAAAATTGCTTGCAATTCCTCTGAGTCAGTGGTCTTGAAATGCCTAACGCAGACAACTTTGAAATATGTATTGACAAGTGTGCCCATTGATAAATATCTTAGATTAGTCAAGACAGATACAGGAAGAGGTCATCAAGTTAGTAAACTCATATGCTTTAAAAAAGGGAGGTGATTTTCCCACTCCATTTTTCTCTATTTACACTCCCTTTCGTTTTTTAATACTTTTTAATCAATATTGTTCTTTTATGTTCCTTCTCTTTTCTATTCTACCCTTATCCTACATTAAAGTTTTGATAATAACTGAAATTAAGAAAAGTTAACAGAAAATTTTAATAAATAAAAAAAAGGAAATGGATAGAAATGTAAGTATTTGTAAGATAAATTCTTTGTTTTTTCTTGTTTGCCGCAAATGGTGCCCCACAAAAATTTTGCCTGGACTGGAATATGGGGCCAATTTCCGCCCCATTTTTCAGTCAACCCAAATTGCCCCCCACCAAATACATGTGGGGCCTCATTTGAAGCAAATGATGGGGTGTTGCACACTACCCCAAGTTGCTGGCCGCATGTCAAAGCCTAAGCAACTTAAAAGTTGCACTTCAATGACTGCATTTCAAATGGGCTTCTTTCAATAATTTTTTTTCAAACATAAAAGCTAGAAATCAACGGTTGATATTAAATTTTGGCTGGATCAACTGGAAAAAAAATAATCCAACAACTAAAATTTAAATTCAAAGGTAAAAATAAGTAAATATATTATTCTAAATTGGATGCAACCTCAAAACATATCCTAAACTCTATAAATACCCATCAATTTGTTAATAAAATTATGTTTGTGAAATTTCAAAAAATTTATGTCAAAATGTTCAAAAAAATAAATCACGGAGTAATATGCAAAAATTAACTATAACAAAAATTAACCACGAAAACAAAATAGAATTATATTATTCTTTAACAATTTAATAAAGTTGCAGACTCAAATTATGAGTCCACAAGGTTGGAGGAAAAAACAGTTTGATTCCTAAAAATACATGAATAGTGTATTTTAGAGGGTGAAATTTTGGGTTTGAGTCCTCTAGAGTTGGAGATGGCCTAAGTCTAACCAAAACTAGGTTGAGAAAAGTACGTAGTATGTTTCCAAAAAAATAACTTCATATTAGTTTTACTCAGTGATTATTAAATGACTAGCCTCTCCGCACGCGCTTCCGCGCCTGCGAGAGGCTTTTTTTTAAAAAAATCTAAATTTATTTTAGAATTAAAAAAGATAATGGGTAGTTGTGTTCCATAAAAATAGGATTCATTATCTGATTTTTCTATTGATTTTAATTTTTTTATATGGATAAGTGTGAATTTACCATATTATCCTCATTTAATTAATAATCTCAATTCTTAATGTTTGCATTAACCAAGAGCATTTTCTGGTATTTTGAATGTTTCACCATTCTCTGCCTTTTGCTTTATATATATAGATTATAAACCTTTTGTGGATAATTTTTATAGTTTGGATTATGAAAGGTTTATAATCATTTTAGACGTTACACAGTGATTATTAAATTTTTATAGGATTATATAAAGGATTATAGGATTATTTAAATTTTTCTTCATTTTATATTTTTAAATAACTTCATAATTTATTTTTTTGAATAATTTGACTTGAAAAAATTGAAATTCCACAAATATAATTTTATTTAAGAAATAGGTGGGTATATATAGAGTTTGAAGTGAGTTTTGCGATTGGTATGATTTGGATTAATTTAAAATATTATTTTGATTATTGAATTTAAATTTTAACAATTGAGTTTTTTTTTACCGTTAAAATAACTTGAATTTAATATGAATCGCTGATTTGAGTGTTTTTCGGAATTAAAAAAATAGAAGCACTGCAACACCAGTGCGCGACATTATCCGCAACACAACAACCGCGGGCCCTCCTTGCATGTGGACTACGTCATGGTCAATGGAGATGGCCTTATGTCTTTCATCTATTGTACGAGGTTCAATATGCGAACAATAAAAAAAAAATTAAAAGGTTTGTGTTTTTACTTCCTAAGCATCGAAAGAGGTTAGAACAAGTATATATTTTATGTTATTATTTTGTTACGATTATATCCTGCTTATATTGATTCAAATGTAGTTATATATTATATTGACTTGGAAATACTGCATTGCTTCAAGTTCAGTTTCTCTTTTTCTTTTTTTCTTTTTTCTTTTTTAATAAAAGAGAAACTAATGTATGATGACTTGTTTGAAGTGAAAATTTATATGCAAATGAAGTCTAAAATATAAAGAAATAAAACACTGTGATGTTAGTTGAGATTCAAAAAATTTAGAGTTGTTTCGGTAACTAAATATAGTAGGGGGCCTTTCTCTATTGCGAATTAGAATGATGCGGATTCAATACGGATTTCTATTTTGGTCTGTTAGATGGCTCGTGTGGTGGAGATTTAACCCAACAAGCAAGACATAAAAATACCCATATTTGACTTCTCACCGCCATTTGAGAACCAGAGAAACAACAGACCACTCATCCCATGCTTTCTCTTGCCCATTTCATTCTATTTTCAGCTCTCTTTTTTAGTCAATATATATCAGCGGGAAAAATGCTCTTAAGCTAATTTTTTTTTTTTTAATAATGAAGCTCAATAAATACATTACAAGGACATAAGATCATACAGGATCCCATATTCCTCCTATATTAGAATTTCTCCATCAAATGTGAAAAACACGCTGCATTGCTGCAACAAGCAAGACAAACGCCAATAATTGTTGGTCAGCTTTGTTACAAATTGAAATTTGATCACAACTTTGATTTTTGTTGGTCAGCTCATATTATTGCTAGAGGAAAGGATGCATTTACATGAATTTTCTTTCACGACCCACAAAAGTCGGAATTCAAATAGATTAATTTGAGTAATGATAGGCATACCACATTTTGGTTTCACATTTGTAGCTAATAGAGTTGAGGTCTAACTATATAAGTCGATCCCACTGTACATATACAGTAAGTAAACATATGAACTATGAAGACATGAAGAAACTTCTCATATTGAAGTTTGAAATTTTGCGAGGACTTATAATTAAGGAGTTGGGTCACCCTCCCATTGCCAATTAATTTTAAAGTATAACCTCAACTTTTCTTCATCGTATATTTATGTTCCACGTTTCACTTAGTCGTGATAATTCTTAATTTTCGTTTTATCACTTAAAAATAGAAAAATTAGCAGACTATTAAATATTAATGAGGTATTGACTTGCAGGGTGTAGAAATAGTAAATTTAATGTTGGAGGGTCCCAATCTCACCAAACCTAACCAACAAACATGAATTCTTAATATAGAGTCTTCATGTTAGTGGACCAAACCAGAGTGAGAAAAAGATTTCCGTGCGACGACAAACTCTCAAGTTTGAACATACATGCGTGTATTCATGCGGTTGGCTGGCCCTGAGTGAACCAATACTCAACCTGCAAAGCAAGGCCGCAAACTCTACGCTTTCACTTTGACGAATTGGCACTGACCATGAAGAAATTATGCTGCCAAATTAAATGACCCATCTTCTCTCCACTATTTATATGGCAATTCTACAAAGTTTGAAAATCATCAACAACAAAAACAAAAGTTCCTCAGAGGGACTGAAGTATTGGGGTTTATTTATGTTGACACTAAAACTGAACAGATAGAGTTAGGTGCAACTTACAGGTGATGTGGATGATCAATAATTGATTGAGTGTTCGATGCAGGTTCTTCCCGTCCTGGGATGCCGATCCTGAATCAAAGGAAGTCGAGGCTCGTGAGGTCTATGGCACCGGTGTGGGACCAACCTAAGACCCTTCGATGCCAAAGTAAGTTTCTTTCTAAGAGCTTTAGCTACTGACAATGTGTTTAGTATAAAAGTCAAGCTGAAAAGTCTTACCCCTTGTGTTGTAGTAAAGGGGCCTATTTATATAGGGCATTTAGTATGCTCTTAGTACTTAATTTCAATGTGGGACTCGTGGGAGGGTCCTCCGAGGTTGACACGAGTCTTTGGATATTTATGGCGGGGCCTTCGAGGTTTGTTCCGCAGAATTGTCAACCCGTACCGATTGTATGCCTGACTCGGAGTCATCGATTGGCTAGGCGATTAGGAGAGCTTACCATTCCATGTGTCACAGTGTGAGCGGAGGGTCATATATGATACAAACAATTTATTTATTTATTTATGGGGCTTCTTCAAGTTGATGTGAAAATGTTGATGTACCTTGTTCTGCTAGGGTTTATAGGATTGTTGGTGCGCTTGTACAATGGGCTTGTGGCGAACCCAAAGAAGCTGAGGTCCCTGCTAACCAAGCAAGGCATTAGCGGACCCCCGCCTGCTCTTCTTCTGGGAAACATTATGGAGATAAAGAAGGCTCGAGGCTCCAGCAATGTTTCCAGGGGGGGTGAAGCTCCCACCACTCACAATTGTGCTGCTCTCCTCTTTCCATTTTTTGAGAAGTGGAGGAAGCAATATGGTATATGCATATACCAATATTTATACATTTGCTTCCTCATCACATATATTGTTATTAATGTTCGTTTTAATATTACGTATACACACCTTATATATATGTTATATGTTGTCCATTTATATCAGTGCAATGCCTTGCAATAGTTGTTTTATTATTTGTATTTTTTAATATTTGCAAGAGCTCTTTGTGAGACTATGTTCTTGTATTGCTTTTTCATTAATGAAATTGATGAATTGCTATTATTTTCAGTGAGTCTTATAATTTACTTCTACTAAATAAATAAGTTACTTGCAGGTGAAGTGTTTGTGTTTGCACTTGGTAACACACAAATATTATACGCGAACCAACCATACGTAGTGAGGGAGATTACAACATGCACGCCCTTGGACTTGGGGAAACCTACTCATCAATATAAAGAGCGTGGCCCTTTGCTTGGTCAAGGTATTTTGACCTCAAATGGTGCCTCATGGGCCTACCAGCGCAAAGTCATTGCTCCTGAACTATACATGGAGAAAGTTAAGGTATGTATATATCGAATGAAACACGGATTTTGGATTCATATTGTTATACAATAAGTATCAACAACATATTGGTAATACTGATAAGTTTGCTTGCCACTATAATCACGTTTTAATACTGATACAAATCAATATCGACAATTCGTTCTTTAATAAATAATGAACGTCATGTATAGAAAAGATTTGATTTGTTTATTACTATAGAATTCATAGCAAATGGCACACCAAAAATTGTTGTGATTGCAACTATATACGGTAAATCCTGCAGGGAATGATCAACTTAATTACAGAGTCAACAACTACTCTGATAAATTCATGGAGCAATAGAATTGAAGCAGAGGGAGGAGTTGCTGAAATAAAAATTGACAATCACATGAGAAGTTTCTCTGGCAATGTTATCTCAAGAGCTTGTTTTGGAAGCAACTATTCCAAAGGGATAGAGATATTTCAGAAACTAAGAAATCTCCAGGAGGCTATGTCCAAGAAAATCTTTTTGACTGGAGTTCCTGGAATGAGGTACCGTATGTAATCAAAGTTTGATATGAGTGCAATAAGCTAAACTAAGAGTGTTGAAATCACTACCCAAAACTATTTGTATCACATTCATGTGTATTCTGGCGGATCACATCTCCACCATGAAAAGTTACATCAAACGGTTGCATATACTCTCTCTAGTATCTCTTATCCTGTGATGAGATACATATAGAAGGTGTATGCAACGGGAAAAGGCGTTTTTTTTCCTTTTCCACTTGTACAGGTAGTCTTATCTATATAAGTGTGAGAGATATGGAACATTTGCTATATAAATAATGTAATTCCCCACAGTCCTAATTAATAGCAATATTATACTGTCCATTCATGTGTATTCTGGCGGATCACATCTCCACCATGAAAAGTTACATGAAACGGTTGCATATACTCTCTCTAGTATCTCTTATCCTGTGATGAGATACATATAGAAGGTGTATGCAACGGGAACAGGCGTTTTTTTTCCTTTTCCACTTGTACAGGTAGTCTTATCTGTACAAGTGTGAGAGATATGGAACATTTGCTATATAAATAATGTAATTCCCTACAGTCCTAATTAATAGCAATATTATACTGTTGCAGACACCTCCCCACAAAGAGCAACAGGGAAGCTTGGGCATTAGCAAAGGAGGCTAGCACTTTGATCCTGCAAGTAGTGAAGGAAAGACAGGCAGCAGGATATGAGAAAGACCTCTTGCAAATGATTCTTGAGGGTGCTCGAAACACTGACCTCAGCCCAGAAGCAACAGATCGCTTCATTGTTGATAATTGCAAGAACATTTACTTGGCCGGCTATGAAACCACAGCAGTTTCAGCCACTTGGTGCCTCATGCTGTTGGCTTCAAATCAAGAATGGCAAGAACGTGTCAGAGCAGAGGCCCTTCAGATTTGCCAAGGCCGGATTCCTGATAACGAAATGGTTCGCAAGATGAAACAGGTATAGATTTGTACACCATTGAAGAATTTAAGATATAGGTTTGAAGAGTTACTAATTGCTGACTATCTATTGTCCATATTATTGTGAATTGACTCGCCATTTGGGGTCGGGATCAAGCTTGGTGGTGAAAATAAGAAGAAAAATGAGAAGGGTGTCAAAATACTGCATCTCGTTTTCCCTTCTTGTTTTCGCTCCCAAACTTCATCCCTACACCCCATGACTAGCCAATTCACAACAAATATGTGGAAGATTACGTGATTTATATTATAAACTGTGAATCAAATGTCATAAACTTAGGCGAGTAATGTTCTTTTGTCAGACATATTTGTGTATTGTCATCTAGTCAACTAATATATTTAGGTAGTCAAACAATCTGACAAGAGAATATTTTCCATATTTAGACGTACTTTTATATGTAGCAAGTAATATCAGTTATCAATTACCATAAAAACTTGACTATTGTTGAATGTGTGCAGCTAACAATGGTGATTCATGAAACACTGCGGCTATATCCACCAGTTACTGTGGTGTCAAGGGAGGCTTTCAAGGACATGAAATTTGGGGACATAAATGTTCCAAAGGGTGTCAATGTTTGGACCACAGTAGTGACCCTGCACACTGATCCAGAAATCTGGGGCCTAGATGCCTACAAATTCAACCCAGATAGGTTTGCAAATGGGATCACAGGAGCTTGCAAGCTTCCCCACTTGTACATGCCATTTGGGGTTGGACCAAGAGTGTGTCTTGGGCAGAACTTAGCCATTGTTGAGCTCAAGGTTCTCATAGCCCTCATAGTTTCCAACTTCTCCTTCTCACTTTCTCCCAAGTACTACCATGGACCTGCTCCTAGATTGGTTGTGGAGCCAGAGCATGGAGTTGATCTCCTAGTGAGGAAGCTGTGAGCTTTCCCTTGGATCGGATCAGGATTTTCAAGAGAAACAAGACAGGAGGGAGAGAGAGAGAGAGAGGTTAATTGTATATAAACTTCTTACTTCTGCATGTTTTAAGCCTATGTTTTCCCCTTGGATTGGTGAATGTTTTCACATTGCTTGTTCTCGTATTGTAATGATAATAAATGTATTGTATAATGTCAAGTTTGTACTTCCCTTTTTCCCATTTAAGGTGAACCATTAGTTGGATTGGACATCTCCAATATGTGTTTGCAATGTGTTATTTGGCCTTCATCAAAGAACACAGGGTGTCTACATTGTGCTTGATATTGAACAAATTAAGGTCTTCAAAGTTAAGCAAGAATTAGGTTGTATAAATCTCAAACAATATTATTAATATAGTTTGCTGATTTCGAATTCTTTTCTACCTCTACTTTTATGGTTTTTCTGAAAGGAAGGTTTAAGCTCAAATATGCTGGCATGGAACATCAAACCTAGGAGAAAAATGGAAATATGCACAATTAGTGCTAGATGGACGACATTGTAGATCACATCAAATATAACAAATGTGTGACATATTTATGCATGTAGATCCTAAATATGGTCTAAAAACAACTATAGGACACAGGTGAAATAGCATGTTCCTAAAAGACACGTGGCGACAGGCAAGAGGAGTTATAGACGGAAGCTAAACAGGCACCAACCAGAAGAACAAAACCTCCTTGTTCCTCGTATTTATGTTTGGGATTCAGATTTGAGAGAGAAAGAAAGCATGAACTAGTAATGCGTTAATGAAGGTTGTTTGATGGGATTGTTGCAATTCTTAATCTGTTTTGTTGGTCACATGCATTGCAGGTTGTTGTCAAAAGAGTAATTGATGCAATTGTAATTTGTAGCAATATTAATTATAGATACATAGAAACATTAGAACGTTCATAGAAATGCTGGATCCCGTGGATATGGATATTGCTGATTCTGATTTTCTCAACAACCAATTTGATAATGGAGACTCTTCTGACTCTGACATTGATAATTACTGCATGTCTTTTACTTGTAAGAATCGCTTATTCGGCCGCCAGAAGCCTCTTCATGTTGTCCTCGGCGCCGGTGTATGTACGTAATTGTAGTTTTTCTTAATTTTTCTGATTGCTGTGAATCTAAGAGTGTGATTTATTTATGATCCCATTTGTCTCTTTTCAGCTGCTGACATTATACTTTGGAGAAACAAGCAGATCTCTGGCTACATTTTTATGGGTGCTACACTTACATGGCTTCTCTTTGAGAGGACAGGTTATAACTTGGTTGTGTTTGTATGCCATGCTTCATTGCTTTCATTGACAGCCCTGTTCTTGTGGTCCAATTTGGGTTCCTTCATCTATGTGTGAGCTCCTTATTTTTCTTTTATTTAAAGTGCATTTCGATTGGTGTTTTTTTTTAATTCGTACCTTCATCATATGCGTCTGTGTTGTGATTTCTGGATAGAATATGATGAAACAGGTCTCCACCAGAAATTCCAGAGACTATCTTACCACAACATCTGTTTATGAGGACCGCTATTTCCTTGACAGCTACATATAATCAAGCATTAAGATCGTTTCGGCATGTAGTTTTTGGGACAGACATAAGAGATTTCCTATCGGTACCGACCTTTTCGTCCCCACTTAGGCTTTATTTATGCTGCAAGGATAGTAAATATTGATTTAATCTTGCAACTTTGACATGATGAACTCATTTGCAGGTGGCGGTGGTTTTGTGGGTTCTCTCTGTTGTCGGACGTCTATGCAGTTTCTTGAGTTTCCTCTACATAGGTTGGTATCAGCTCCAGCCTTTTCATGGCTAGGAAGTTGGATAGATAGCTTTCTTTGTTTCCTCATGCTGCACTTGGTTTTAGTCCCCGGTGATCTCCTCCATCGTTGTTGTCGTAGTTTTTTGTTTTACAAAAATTGATATTGTTTGCTATGTTTTTTCCCTGGTGATTTCCACTTAGTGTCAAGTCAACAACGGTTTATTTTTAGTTTGCTTATTATGTTAGCAGAGATGAGTGCTGAATCTTTCTTCTTGGTTGTGCAGTGTTTGTGATACTGATGATAGTGCCAGCGCTGTATGACAACCTGGAGGATAGCGTTGACTCCTTTGCAGAGAAAGCACTAATTGCAATAAACAAGCAGTACGCAGTGTTGGATGAAAAAGTTATCCAAAAACTAAAAAAGAGTGTAATTTCTTCCAAGAGTAGGAAGCAACAATAATTATTTGAGGTTCTGCTGCACCCTTCCTCTTCATACAGTCGGTACAGTTCATATGTCGTTCTTGCTCGTTTTGTTCCGTCAGTTAATTTTACTTTATTTGTCTGATCAAATCTGTAAAATGAAGATGTAGAAAGGAAAATATATATGTTGCTTTCTACCTGTTTTGCTAGTAGCCTTGTTTAGTTTTACTTGAGGAGTAAGTAATCATTCATCATCCTTGTTATATGAGAGAAAATGTATTGTTCCAATTTTGGTTTCTGATGCAAATTTCTAAACAAGGCTACTTCCTCCTTTTTGGACAGGTACAACTTCATATAAACTGTTACATATCTGTTTTTATGTACATAGACAAAGCGAGTTTCTTGATTTTGAACCTCTTTTCACACGCATTCATAGCAACTACTAAAATTTATTAGCTGAGGTGCTAACCTCCCAAAACTATTCATTAGCTACATGCATCAATTTCCACTCCAGTTAGTAATAGATGACAAAACCCATGTTGATAAGATTGAAAGAGCAAGGCAAAAAAGAAGGAAAAAAAGTGATTTATACTTTGGCCTCCTCGTTCGATCCTGGCTGCAAGAAGGGCCCCCACCACCCTGATTCGTACTTGGAATAAGGTGCTACCCATTTCTCCGGTTTCTCAAACTCAATATTGGTTGGAGTGGAGGCCAATGCCTCTTCTAGACTCTCAGCTTCAAAACTTTCTGCTAGCACTCTGTCCAGTCTCAGCTTCATAAACCTGCAGCCATACAACATTATCAGTTGATGTGTGTGGTTCATAAAGAGGGACATTATTATTATCCCTCGTAAGAGTCACAACTTTCATATTTCTATTTCTACCACATGAAGATTTTTCATATTCTGTAATTTCTTGGGCTATACTGGCATATTTAACTATGAAACAATATACTTAAATCATCTACAAAGTCATACTTATCATAAGTCAAGGTGTTAGCTTGATGACATTGTTACTCCATTTCTCTAACAGCTTAAACTATTGGGGCTTAGCTTGATAACATTGTGCTCAAAACCTCTAATCTCTATTCCCCATTTGCTCATTTATGCTTCTCTTTGTCTACCTCCGCTCGTGTAGAATGGGGCTCTACACGAACACGTTGTCAGCTTGATATACCGTTTCTCTAACAGATTAAGCTTTCAGATTCTAATGGTCGTCTAACAATGAGTTCTATGATAGTGATCAAGCCAACTTCTTATAATAAAGTTACTTGCACAATTGATTTGGTTCAGCCTGTGATTCTACTACATCACCAATTAAAGTAACAAAATATGTTTAGCTTGCAACAATGGCTATCTAAATGAACGTGCATATGAAGTGCAAGAGGCTGCAAGCAAACAAAACACCAAACTGGAAACAAGCAAAGCTCAGTAGAAAATGGTGGCGGGCGCTTACGTAATCCAAGGTCCATTGGTCGAAACCAGAGCCACAGCAGGTCTTCCTAATCTCTTAGTAATGTTGGGAAACTTATCCAAGAACTTAGGCTCGATCACAAGCCAAAAGTCCTGCTCTCTGTTACGCTCTCCATAGTAGCGAAGCCGCTCACACAATTGCTCCTGGAAATGCTCCTCCTCGTCCAGCATGAACTTGGCATTCGCAACAACGAAATAGTACCTGCTCGCCTTTTGCTGCATTGAGAACAAAGATGAAACCCCAAAATTCAAAACAGGTTCTTGCCTTCTTGGATGAGAAATCAAAACCCATTAAATTAAAAGTTGAATTTATATGAAAGACTGAACCTTTTCGGCGGAATCGGAGGAGCTGAGCTGGTCGGAGTCTACGGCGGCGACAGATGTACGGACGGATGAGGAGGAGGAGGGTTTGGTGATGGCTTTGGGGCTGAAGGAGAAGAGGTTGCAGCTGCAATTAGCTGACAAGGGAAGAGCTAAATATTTGGGTTTTTGGTTTTGAATTTGGGCTTGGGAAATGGCGGTCTTTGCCTTCTTCACCTTCACGCCGGCAGCAGCCCAGCATGCCTGACCAAGAGTTGCCACGCCTGACATTTCTCCTTGTTCTTGTTCTTCTTCCCCCGTGTCTCCTTCGATGTAATAAACAGAGCCAAAACCTTATCTAGTGTTATCTACATTTATCTTTTCATTATACAAAAAACATGTATATTATCTTTATATTTTTTCCCCTGGCTTTTTATGTGTTTTCACTTTATGTTGCCTTGCTGTCACATTCAAACTCTTCAAAATTTTCCCATCAAGAGAAAAAAAAAATGTCATCATACTTTTGAAGTTGGATTGTCTCTTTCATTGCATCCTTTGTCTCTTACTCTTGTATTTTGCTTCCCTTAAGTCACTTGGTTTTGATTGCAAGAACAATACATATATGCCTTCAGACTCTTAGATCAATCTTAACAACAAAGAAAAGATGAAAAGTAATGAATGAAAGGACAAAGGGTGTATGTTAGTTCAGGCCAAAAGAAAAATGAGAAGGGTAGTTTCACACCTACTTCTCCTTTAATAAAACTCCATTGCCAACCAACCCAAGCAACCCGCTTACAGTAATGGTTTTAAGCCTGTATCTATCAACCAGTTAACAACAATTTGACAACCTAAAACGTTCATGACTGGTTTGTAATTGCACGCCGGAGCCATGATCGACAAAACTACCTGCTGTGTTAAGGGTGTTACCCTGTGTGCAGATTCAATTATGTTATGTATGTGTTTTCTCTTTGTTTATTGAGTTCAAAAAACCAACTAATTGTGGATTTGAACATCATGGTCCATCCACATGGCTGAGATGGTGCAAGTAGGACATCCATTTTGTCATATTTAAGCATTGTTATTTCTTCAAATTCTTACACAAAGAACAAGCAGATTATGTGTATCCGTGGCCACAAGAGGGAAGAAAATGCATCAAGCAGAGCACCAATTACAGCAAAAAAATGCCGGGAGGAGCGGAAAGACAAATCTGAAGATGACACAACAAATAGAACAGAGCTGCAAGCATCCAAAAAAGCAATTTATGCGATTGTTTGCATGAAAAGCTTTAGACATCTTATATTTGCACTACGGAAGGCAATACATGAGAGATTGTTTGCAGCCAAAAGCTAGACAAGCTCAATGTAGGCCATAGGCGCATTAACCCCTTGGCAGAGTTCTAACAATTCTTGTATACCCTCCATTCCTCTCCCCATATCTGTCTGGAACCTCTGCAAACAAGGCATGCACAATCTGCTTCTCGTAGATAAATCCAAGAGCTTCCCTCCTTTTATGAAGAGTTCCATCCTTTGCCAATGTGATCATCTTATCAATGTACTTCCGCATTGCGCTTGCCCTGGCTCTGGTAGTTTTGATACGACCGTGTCTAAGAAGCTGAGTTGTGAGGCCTCGCAGCAGTGCCCGGCATTGGTCAGGGGGCCAATTTTGGGGACTCGCCTCCCATGTCTCATGGCAAAAACTCAACCACCATTGTCAATAGTAGTAAAACAATGCTCAAAGATGCTAAATTCTGTGCCAACAACGTAGAAAAATAAAATTCAAGATAAAGAATGGAACACTTGTAAACAGGTCCCATCAAACCGTCACATAAAACTAAGAGAAAGAACAAAAAATGCTGAAACTGAGCGCATATAAATGTTATACAGATGCGGGCATTTCATGAGTAATCTAATAGGACAAAAGGTGGATAAGAATTGTTGCCTTTCTATACAATGTTGGCTCAAAATTCTGGTTGCAGGTGTGGTTCGAAACCTCCCATCCCATTCCCCACTTATTTGTTAATTGCAAGGTTTAGAGTTAGGCTGTAGGCAAATGTTCTATTTATGTCTGCATTTTGTATAGGCTTGACTTGACACACATTGTTGGCCAATTTCATAAAGTGTAAGCTTTTGTCATTGGTTCTTTAACAAAATTTATCCAAAAAGGAGGAAATTAAGCAAACTTTGTATATCAATATCAACAGCAGAACATACTGCAACCACTAACAAGTTAATAGAGCAAAAGATCAAAAGTAGAGGACTGAAGAAGCAGCAAAAGTAAGTAATAAAAAAAAAACCAAAAGCCGCAAGAACAACTAAATCAAGGTACTTTGGTGAACCTTCACAGAAAGACAATCCAAAATAAACATTTCTCATTTTCCATATCAATAAGAGTAGAAGGGGTGGGAGGTTGAGAAATTACCTGGTGAAGCAATCGTGCGGAGAAGGGGTTTAGGAGGAGCAAGGCCAGTAAAAGAGCGCAGCACAGCCACTTTGGACGCTCTTAACCTTAACCCAGATGAAGAAGAAGAGGCAACGGAAGGCAGGGCAGACATTAGAGATGTCATGCTCCATGTGCTTATGGAGGAAGCAAAGCAACTGCATTTGCAATCCCATTGCAGACGAGCCACAACCAGACTAAACTGGCTATGTGGTATAAAGAAGAGAGAGGCACGTGCCCAGCCCATTGGATTTGAACATGCTTATCGAGGCCCATACGTTATGAAAATTAAACACAGGGCCCAAGGGAGCAAAACCCAGAAAGAGGAATCAGTATCAGCTCAACTCCAAGCGCAAATGCTGTTCTCAACCGTGGCTTCCAGTGTTGTTGGGTGTTTCATTACACGTTCGTCAAGAGTCAGAGGCATCCCTGATCCTTCCTTCTTCACCACCTCCACCAAGGTAAGACCAATTTCAACTATGACTTGTTTTTGTTGTGTTGTTGTTGTTGGTGTTTTGAATTTGATTTGGGTTTTGCTGCAAAATGGATACAGATGGCTTTGGAGCAATTTACGTTCGGCCCTTACAAGATTGACAGCAGGGAAGTGTTTTACTCTACTCATCTATCCTATGCCCTGGTCAACTTGCGTCCTGTTGTTCCTGGTATTCATCTTTATCTTGCACTATATTAAAACATGAAAGTAAATATAAAATTAGGCACTTGATGATCCATTTCTCTTTTTTCGTTTGCAGGTCATATCCTTTTCTTTGGTCTGAATTATAGTGTTGTTTTGATATCAGTCAAGGCAATATTGTAGAAGAAAAAAAGTTGGGAAATTTATTTCTTTTGTTCCTTTTCTTGCTTGAAAAAAGACAACATATGAGTTCCAACTTCTTGATTGACTGGATCATGTTTGTGAATTCAAGATATGAGTTCAAAGAAAGGGGTCTTTTTATCAGGCTTGGTTTTGGGTCCAAAATGGTTTCTCCTTGGCACTGACATGTAATCGATAGTGGACTGCTAGTTGCAATACTCAATGTCATGCTTCTAAGTGCATCATTTTGATTAAAAGATATTGACTGGTTTATTTGGGCAGAGCCTGTTCCACAGCTCTGTATCTAGTTTGCCGTGGACCTATATGTGTGCTTATCTCATCTGCTTATTTGGCTGAAGGATGACCAAGCATCATGTGTATTTATATTGTTGCACTTGCGTGCCTATATACCCGCCCAACATTTTGATTAGTCCTCTTTTGCATAATTATGTGTGCAAATTATACCCATTTTGTTGTAGAACTATAATCTTAATATGGTCGATTCTTCAACTTTGGTATAGACTTAACATCATGTACATGTGCTTGTCTGCCCAAGGCGTGAAGTGAAGCGCTTTGTTGATCTCTCTACTGATGAGACCAGTGATCTTTGGATCACAGCGCAAAAGGTTGGTAGTCGGCTTGAGACCTACCACAAAGCATCGTCTCTCACACTTACAATTCAAGTAAGCATGGAAGACCTTTAATTTTTTCCGATTGATGTCAATGTTTATCTGTTTGGCCAGGTTTTCGGTTATTTTTCCTTTGAGATCTTTAGGGATGGGATCATTTAAATGTTTTAATGTGTTATTGTTACTAAGCTATTCCTTACTCTAACGGTACTTGTTGATTAAACCACAAGATATCTTATGTAAAATCTCATTGTGATCGTACTTCAAAACTTCCTACAAGCTTTTAGGTTTGCTCTCTTTCATATATTCAAGCTCGTGTGTCCCCTAAAGCCAACTGCATCATCATTATTTGAACTGTAGGATGGACCCCAAGCTGGACAGACTGTGCCCCATGTTCATATCCATATCATCCCACGGAAAGGTGGCGACTTTCGGGAGAATGATGAGATTTACGATGCAGTAAGATTCGACATTTATTTCACTGTTTATCAAACACTTCCTAATTCCTACATTTTGGACTCCTGTATTTACTTTCTGTATTTCATCAATGTTATAGCTAGATGAAAAGGAGAAGGAATTAAAGCAAAAGCTTGATTTAGACAAGGACAGGAAGGACAGAAGCCTTGACGAAATGGCACAAGAAGCAGAAGAATACAGAAAGTTGTTCTTGTAGAATGTAGATGTTCCTACTTGCAACGCAATATGTAATTTATTTCTCACTGGATATTTTCAACCTAGTTTAGTTATGGTTTGCTCATTGGATGGTTTGCTATGGTTTTAGCTGGATTAGGGTCCAAGCATCATAGTTCAGTTGTGTAACTTAAAATCGGAACTTATCATTGATTGCTAGAGAAATTATGTTTTCTTTATCATTTCTATGTTTGCCAAAAGAGATAAAATGGTTGACGTTATGCATTATGTAGCTAGTTAAGTCTTAATTGGCGTGGAAATTTTCTCTTGTGAGACAATTTGGTATGTTATGCTCAGACTTTGCCAAGTTAGAGAAATATTTGCAGAATCTGGTTATGTAATAGCTGCTCTTCTAAGCTCAGAAGCTGGTGAGCTGACTTTGCTTGTTTCGCAGAGTTGTGATAAATTCATGTCTTAAGCCTCGGATTCGCGGAGTGTAAGCTAAGGTTCACAATTCCATTGAGTTCACGTGGTGTTACGGTCACATACACAAATTTTTAAAAAACATAGGCCTAATCAATAGGTCCACCTACCACTTGCCACAAACTGAACCCAAGATAGAATATATGATCAAAATATAATTTACATTTTAATTTTTTTTTAGAACATTTTTTTATTGAGAGGGGCGACAATATACTAAAATATACTAAACTCACACACACTACATGATTGCTGAGACTTGAGCCCAAGACTTTCATGGAGGGAGCAATTGCTCCAAACCATAACACTAGTGGGTCCTTTGCATCTTAATATCTCTTTTAGGATATTGATCCACAACTTAAATAAATAAATAAATAAGATAGAAACAAGAAAATAGTCACATTGGGGCTTAGGCCCCTAGTTGCAAGCCCAAATGGAGCTTGGATCATGAAAACTTGGGCAATCTCTGCGGTTATTTGGGCCGTGGGTCCGGATTTCTTCCTCAAAGAAATGGCGGGAGAAGGTGGCACTGTACTGGTAATTGCTTTAACCAATTAATTTTGAGGCTATATATATTATCTACTTAATGCCCCCAAAACCTCAAACGCCCAAAAAAAAGCTCAAAAACTCAAAAAGCATTTCTTTCTCCCTGGTCCTGAACTACACTGATCGTCTCAAACGGAAAAGCTGATAAAATGATAAAAATGCAGTCCATGCAGGCCGTTCTCAAGGTGACGAGCTTATCTTCTTCTTCCTTTTTTAATCTTTAAAAGGAAAATTCAAGTTTAGTCATTTTGTAGTTTTTCTTTTTCTTTTTTTTTTTGGGTATAGCAATACTTTGGGTTTTCTTCATTTCGGCCATACCAAAAGGACGTGATAGAGAAAATCATAGAGGGAAACGACTCATTGATTGTCATGGCCACTGGAAGCGGCAAGTCCTTGTGGTAAAGCCTCCTCCTTTTTCTCTATCGTTTTAGTAGGCTTTCAGACCTGTTTGATTTATTGGGTTGATTTTTGACAGCTATCAAGTGCCTCCTTTGGTTGTTGGAAAGACTGGTGTGATTGTGAGCCCTCTTATATCCTTAATGCAAGATCAGGTGAACTAAGCTTGTTGCTTTTGTTGTTGTTGTTGTTGTTGATTAGTGCTTAATAATCATGTCACTTTACTTCTGTTTATGTTCAAACTTAGTAATTAGTAATTGCATGTTATCTTAAACTTTTTTAAATTTTTGTTTAAAGGTAATGTCTTTGAAACAACGAGGAATCAGAGCTGAGTTTATGGGAAGTAGTCAAACAGATTCCACTGTCCAGAACAGAGCTGAAAGTGGACAATTTGATATTTTGTACATGACCCCAGAAAAGGCATGCTTGATTCCTGCCAGGTACTTTACTACTTTTATTACTTGACGTTTACCAGTTTGAAATTTCTTCCCATGCGTGTTTTGGATGAAAACTTATAGTTTTTCCATTATCAAGATTTTTATTGACACTCGGAAGTATTATAGTGGACATTACGACGTCAATGTTATATTCTAGCATTTGTTTTCTTATAGAAATTGGTTTCCTGAATCTTATGTCTTCTTTGCAGTTTCTGGTCAAAATTGCTTAGTGTTGGAATCTGTTTGTTTGCTGTTGATGAAGCACATTGCATATCGGAGTGGGGCCATGATTTCAGGTTTGATTTTTATTGGTTCTTTCTATAGTAAATCTTAATAGCTTGATTTTCGTAGACTTAGTTTATGAACTTTGGGCCTCTGGCCTGTGAAACTTGTTTTGGTATCAGTCTCAGTTATTTGACTACATGGTCATCCTTGTGATTTAATCCTGCAACCTGTCTTGCTAGGAATGGGATTGGGATCAACAAATTTAATTCCTTATTCTGATCCTATGTCAGTTTTCAGCTGAAGTTGCCTGGTCTTTTGGGTGCTTGCACTAGGGCTAGTTTCTTGTTCCCGACTTACTATTTTAATGCATGCCTTCCTTGAAATAAGTGTCTTTTTGCTCATCTCCTAGAGGTTCATGTGTTGACTTTGTTCCTTGTAATGATTTATTTTATGCCTACAATTTCCTTAATGTTATTGAGCCTTTAGTGCCAGGTTGCCATCTCTATAATATTTTCAAATAGCTCTCTCTCTACTGATGAATCATTTACCTGAATTTCTTGTGAACTTGGTACAAACTACAAATAATAATGCTCTCCACTTTTTGATCATTTACCTGAATTTTGTGCACTTTTGCTCTTTACCTAGTATAATGTTTATTGTTTCTTTTTCCTATATTTGTTCCTTGTAATAATCATCTTCTGAAGATTTCTCTTTGTGGCTGTACAGGGTGGAATACAAGAAATTAGACAAGTTACGTGGCATTCTTGTTGATGTTCCATTTATTGCCTTAACTGCGACTGCTACTGAAAAGTAGGTTTCTCTCTCTCTCTCTCTCTCTCTCTGGGCTTCTAATTTTCTTATCAACTCTTGCTTTTCGATTCGAGTATTGCTTCATTTTGCTTAACATCCTCAGAATTCAAGCAATAAAACTTACAACACACTATTGCCATAGCAAGTTTGTATTATCTGCTTTTGGTACCATATATCATAACAGAAATCTGTGTCTTCTTTTCTTGGTCTCCTTCTTGTTCCTTTAATTCTGCTGACCCTGGGAACTTCGTAAGTTAGCAGGACAATATATGAACTAGGAAGTGAACTAGTCTCTTATGACCTTTTTGCAATTTACTAGAGCCTAGGGAATAATGGCAGATGAATTTTTTTTGTTACTTGGCCCGTACTCTTATGATCTTTTGTAACTTAATATATATATGACTATACTCTCTTTCCGATTGGTAAAAACTATAATAATCCTGCACCTGGAGTCTCTTCACTATTGACATTAGTTTGCTTTTTAGGCTTTTCTGTTAGGAAGACTACAATGATTCATCTTCTCTGGTTTTAACTATTCCAGGGTTCGAACGGACATTGTTAATTCCTTGAAGATGCAAAACCCATACGTTACCATAGGCTCATTTGATCGTCCAAATCTGTTTTATGGTGTCAAGTCATTCAATCGTGGTCAATCATTTGTTCATGAGCTAGTGCAAGAAGTTTCAAAATTTGTACGCAGAGATGGTTCAACCATCATTTACTGCACAACAATTAAAGATGTTGAGCAGGTACGTTCTTTATCTGCTTTATATTATACTTGACATGTGTACGGGATAAGTGTATCCTGAAATGGTCTCCAAGAATGGTTAATTGTCAATTATCCAAGAAACTTAGGACTGAAAAAGAAAAAGATAATACTTAACTGACATTTCCATATTTTGATGTATTGAGCATGAATTCAATTTAGTTTACAGTGTTTCGTTTAATTATTTCCAGAAACCAAGTCAGGATGATTGTACTATTTAGGACAAAGCTTAGTTCAATTAGTTCGGTTGAACTGGAGACTCATTCTAATTATCTAGCTAAGTCAGGGATGCCTCTTTTGGTAGACCTTACGCTACATGGACACTTCAAAGTTTTCCAAGTCCCTTTTTGAAGCAATGTTATTTGGTCCAACTATCCAAGTATAATAACATGGGATAGCACATATAACCTACCAGGTGTTCCTAACGCATGAAATCAAGTTCGATTCATGGTTAACTAAAAAAAATTTAGGAGGGTTTTCTTAATATCTTCCTATTAATAGATCAAAATTTTAAAATGTGTGAAGTTTCATTATAAGGAGGCTCTATATCATAAACTTAATTTCGAATTTTAAGTATGAAATCTAAAATATGATAAATTCTTACCAACTCAGCCATGTTTCATTGTCCCGACATTTTATAGTTAAACGATTACCACCTATCGACATACTTATCTTTATGTGTGTACTATATCTATGTAACTTATAGTTCATAATGTATCATGTTTCTGGTAAGTTATATCAATGTCTTGTTTTACTCATGAATGTAATTTGTTAAAGAATTGGTTTATATGTCCTATAATGTTTTTCATCACCTTATCTTCCCTAGGTATTCAAGTCACTCAAGGAGCTAGGTATTAAGGCTGGAATCTATCATGGTCAAATGGACAGTAAGGCTCGTGCAGAGTCCCATAGGTTATCACTTATATTCCATGTGTATTTAGAGTAACAATTATAGTTGCTCCATGTGCTATTAGTGTAATTGTTGACTACAGCACCCTTCCCTTTCTTAACCTTGCATTGCAGCAAACTTGACATGATGCTTATTAAACTGAGCATGCTTGTTATTCATTTTCATCAGATTATTTATAAGAGACGAATTAGATGTCATGGTTGCTACAATTGCTTTTGGCATGGGTATTGATAAGCCAAACATAAGGCAAGTGATACATTATGGGTGCCCAAAGAGTTTGGAATCCTATTACCAGGAAAGTGGACGCTGCGGCAGAGATGGTGTGGCGTCTGTTTGCTGGCTTTATTACACTAGAAGTGACTTTGCAAAATCTGACTTTTATGTTGGAGAGTTACAAACAGTAAGTGTTTCTGTCATTTCTCTTGTAGGATGTCGCTAAATATGCTTTGAAGATTTTCTTTAATATTTTCCCAAATTTTCTTTAATGCAATACATGAGCAAGTTATGTAACTGAATTTGTTGGTTAATTTCATTTGAAAGTGGCTTTCTTTTTGGCATGTTTTTTGCTGTTAAGCTTGTGTTTGAATCCATTTCACTGCCCTCATGGTTTTTTGGCTGCTAATTGCCAGGAAAGTCAACGTAGAGCTGTTGTTGAGTCATTGATGGCAGCAC